AAATTATAGGAGCATCTTAGTCATATATGAGATAATTAGAGGATGCAGGACCACCTTTGTCCACTTGATCATCACAAGGGATACGGGTTTTCCTTTTCCCATGGAAAAATGGAGTAAACAGTGGATTTTACCTTTTACCGGAGGCAAACGCAGATTTCTCATTTTACCAGAGAAGCGCACAGATTTTGCAGTTTTGCAACGAGCCCTCTGCAAGCTGGCAGAGCTCTAGCCTGCAGGAAGCTGGGAGGGAGCGGGAGGAGGCTGGTCAGGCACGGGGTGTCATGTGATGTAGATGCACAAGGCCCGTCAGTCTGCAGAGCAGCAGGACTGTGCAAAATTTTGGCAGCTGTTTTGTTTAGGAGGTGTTTCAACCGAATCCAAATCACAATGGAAGGCTCCGAAACGAAACAAGTCATCTGAAACGTTTGGAGAAATTTCAGAGTTTTGGAGCCAGGCTTGCAGGAAAACAGCTGTACATGGCTGCCCTGCTGCGTGACTCGGCTCTGCAGGGAGCAGAGATCCATGCCAGGGGCCTCCTTGCCGCTGCTACCCGCCCCACGCTGCCCCGGCAACATGGGACTGCACAGGGCAGGCAGCAGCTATGAGGAGACCCCAGTGCAGATCTCTGCTCCCTGCAGAGCCAGGTCACGCGGCAGGGCAGCACTGGTCCATCATGCGACCTGGTTCCGCAGGGAGCAAGATCCAGGGCAGGCAGTGGCAACGAGGAGACCCCTGGCGTGGATCTCTGCTCCCTGCGGAGCCAGGTCGTACAACAGGGCAGTGCTGGTCCCTGCCGCACAACCGGGCTCTGCAGGAAGCAGAGATCCGGGGCAGCGCGGAGCAAGCAGCAGCAGTGAGGAGACCCCCAGCACAGATCTCTGCTCCCTGTGGAGCCGAGTCATGCAACAGGGACCAGCAGGCTTGCTTGCCACTCTGCGCTGCTTCCCTGCCCCACGACTTGGAGTGACAGGGATCAGAGATCTGCGCGGGGGTCTCCTCGCCTGCACGGAGGGCAGCAGCCCTCCACCTCCCCCCATTCACAGCCCCGCTCTGCTCTCCACTGGGGCCCCAAGCCCCGCCCAGCTGGGCAGTAGGGCTGGGCGAAGCTTACAGCCCGTTGGAAACAGATTCGGAGGAGATTCAGTGGAGATGAATCTCCGAAACAGATTTGGCAGAAACAAGACAGGACAGTGATCCGAAACAGACAAATCTGAAACCAAATTGAAACAAGCTGTTTTGTACATCCCTAGAGTGCAGCTTCCGCAAGTAAGTAGGTGGGGGGAGGAGGAAAATTGAGCTCCTGTGCGGGGTGGGTGCACGCTGCGGGCTCACCCTGCTGCCCTACCCCAGGCCCTCCGCAGCCCAGCAGGCGTGACCTGGCACAGCAGGGAATAGCCAGGCTGCACTGCTTGTTGCTGCAAGCTCCTTGTTGCCCTGGCAATGTGCCCCCTGGATGCACAGCACCTATGATCAGTACAACTCTGTGCCGCTGCCCTCACTGCAGCCATGTGCACAGGGGGCATGTTGCCAGCACAGCACAGAGCTCGCAGCAAGAAGCAGCTTCTTATTGCTGCCCCACTGTTCCCTGCCAGGCTGTGGAGGCCCCAGGGGGGTAGGGAGCCTGAGCCTTTAGCCTACACGCACCCCTGCCTTGCACACAGATCTGGGGGCATGGCTCCCCTCTTTTCCTCCGGAAGTGTGTGCAATCAGGAAGTGTGTGCACTGCTGGGAAGCCAGCTCTGCTGCCCCCCCTGCCCCATGCTCAGATTTGGGGAGGAGGCACAGGTTCCCCATACCCCATGGGGACTGCACAGCAGCAGGGAGCCAGTCTCCCCCACCCAAGCCCACAGCAGACAGCAGGGTGGAGCCAGGCTCCACTCTACTGCAGCAGCTGCAGCCTCTTGCCAGGTACAGGTGGCTGAGCAGCCACGTACATAGCAGCTTGTACTGCAGTTCCTCGAGTAGCCTGGGGCCCCCTCCAGCACAGTTGGGGGGACAGGGTCAACAGCAGGGTTGCGGGGGTTTTATTTTAATTATGGCTTTTTGGGATTTTAATCGAGAATTCATTATTTTATATATATCAGGGAAAACCAGGATCCCTGATCATCACATAAAGAGGATCAGTCTTCAGTCTAAATCAAAATATAAACCTGGCTACAGTTATAGCTACTTATATTGCAGGCTGTATAGATCAGTGGTGTTCAACCTTTTTGCTAGGTGGGTCAGGTGGGCAGTTCCAGTCCCTCCACAGGCCAGATCAGGCTGGTGGTCCTGATCCAGCAAATAAGGCAGGCTTGGCAGGGCCCTATCAGGCTGTGCAGAGGGGAGTAGGAGGCAGTTCAGACCCAAACCAGGCCCATGGGGGAAGGGGGCTTGGCCCTGCTTTAGCCATGGAGAAGAGGGGGCATTTCCCAGCCTTGTGGGAGGAAGGGGCATGACCCAGCCCCAACCCAGCTGCATGGGAGGGAAAGGGGTATGGCCTGGTCCCAAATAAGCTGCACAGAGGGAAGAATGTGGCCAGTCCCTGGAGCAAGAAGGGGGTGCGACCCCACCCTAACCCAGCTGCAGAGGGAGTGGGGTGCAGCTCAGCCCCGATGTGGCCATGAACAGGAGGGGACAGGGCCTAGATCCAACCTACTGCATAGCATGTAGGAGTGGCAATATTAACTGCCACTGCCCCCCTGCTGCCAAATTTCCTGACCTGTGGGGAGCGCTACGGGACAGAAGTCAAGGCTCTGGGACCCACATTTGGCCTATGGGCCAGAGGTTGTCCACCCCTGGTTAGATCAATGGTACAAGCAGTATACCCCTAAATATTCACATCAAGTAGATTTAACTTTTAAGGTACTGGCTCCTAATCATCTATAGGGATGTGGTGCCCTCCAGGCACATTTTAAACTGTAATTTGCTAATAACTGAATATCTGAACTTGCAGCAAATAGTATGCAAATATATCTACCAGAATGACTGATTATTCTGGGGTAATTCGGAGTACTTGCAACAGTCTGAAATATAAGAATTGTGGAAAGCACATAAAGCCAGTTCTTAACAGACACCAAAAGTCTTTTAAGACACAACTGTTAGTTGTGGAAGCTTTAAGTCCCTCCAGGATAACCTGGAAAACGTCAGTATTGGAACTCACTCATGTACACCAATTAGTGAACACTGTAAGGTATTCTTCACAGTAGCTCTTAACAAGTTCAGAGCCGAACTAAAGATTCCAAGGAGTCTAAATTACCACTGGTAAGATGAACTGTGGGACTTGCTACTGGAGCCTCC